TCAAGGTCGCACACTGTTTCGCCTTTTTCAGGTAAGATTAAGATTATAAAATAAAATATACTAATGAAAAAAACTTTTTTTTTCAAATATTTTATCTTAAAACATTCATGATCTGTTTTTAAAGATATTTCAGCAAATTGGCTAAGTATTTTCTTTAAAAAGTACATATTGGATCAAGGTTTATTAGTAGGAAGTACTGGTTCTAAAACATATTCCAATGTAAAGACCAAACTTTTAGACATATAAGAGTTGTTGAATAAGGAATGCACACAGTAAAACTCTGGTGGTTGAAATAATTGTACAAAAGAATAAGTAAATTTTAAGGAAAATTTAAAAAGTATATTTAGTTGCAAGTAAAATCTCCCAATTATGTGGGTTTATTACAATATCTCATATGTTACTGGATTTTGTAAATAATTAAATATAATCACCTATGAAAATTGTTGATTATTTTTTATATTTAAAATTGCATTTTTGAGAAGTATAAATTAACTTGTATCATCCTAGCTCATTGGAGAATTCCACAAAATGTTAAATGTAATGTTTCAACACCAAGGTAGTGAAACAGAGATTTAATGCTAAAGCTAAAGTTTTAATTCTTGTAGGAATAGTAAATGTCTTCCAATTCTATTCACTAATAGCCTACTTGTTTTGACTATTACAGTATTGACTGTCACATTATAATATCCCCATGGCTGAAAGGGCGAGCATCCCTGTCACACCAAACATGTTCGCCCTTCCAGCTGTGGGGGCATTATAATGTGATGGTCAATACCACTATTTCTTGGTAAAAGAGTAGCCCAAGAGTTGGCGGTGGGTGGCATGACGAGCTGCTTTCCATCTAGTTTTACACTGCTAAATTAGGGACGGCTAGTGCAGATAGCCCTCATGTAGCTTTGCGCAAAATCCATAACAAACAAACAAACTATTACATTATTATTATTATGTAAACTATGAAAAATTTGAAACTTTTATTTTTTGCCAGAAACAAGTTTGAAAGAATGAAAAGTTAAGAGGGCATAATCTTCATGCTCTAAAGATATTAGCTGTTGATTTCAAAATGTATTTGTTCCATCATTTAAAGTGCAAAAATGAGGTTTAATACTGTTCAAACTTTAAACACAAGTTAATTATCTGAATTTGAATGCATGACATGATGTTTTTTTTCTTTGACCATTAAAGCTTCTACACAATAAAATTGATTTCAACTGAAAGTGGTTTAATTGACACTGAAGAAAAAGTAAAAATTTGAACTAATCATGATGACTAGTATGATTTAAGTTGTTATGTTCTAGCTTCAAAAGCATATGGAACCTGATGACCTACAGTTATCAGTTTTATCTATTCCATGGACAGCTTATTTCAACTTTCATTCCAAATCTTCAAGTCCCCTGGTGGGACAGTGGTAAGTCTATGGACTTACAACACTAAATGTGGCTTTGCTCAAATAACAACAACAACAAAATCTTCAAAGTGATTTTGATTGGTTTATTTTGTACAAAATTAACCAATGAAGGTCTTAGTAATGGGTCATAAACCTGCTTCTTTTTTTTGTCATTCATTCAATAATAGGTATTCAAATGTCTACTAAGTATGTTGACTGTGTGTACTTTATTTGTGAAACACCTTTAAGTCTTGCTTCAACTTCTGCTCTCTTTTATTCCACATTCAAAAACTAAATGATATGTTGCTTCAAGCATATAACAATAATTTTACATAAACTGAAGTATTTAAAAAGAAGGTGTGTAATAAAGCAGATAGTTTGTTGAACAAAATAATACATTTTTACAGTTTGAAAGATCTTCCTGGTGAGGTGTGATTATACTAAGTTATATCTATTATAAGACCATGTTATTAGGCTTGTAACCATTATAACTGATTAAAATAATACATTATTGTAGCCTGCCAGAATTGACTTATAGATTATTGCAGTGGATGGTGAATATATTCTGTTTATTGTTTAGAATACAAAATTAAAGAATAGGTTAAGCAATTGTCAAGTTTTTTTTATATTCGTATTTGAAAAAATCGGCACTTGTTTAACCTATTCTTTAATTTCGATATCTTTGTTGCCTATGTGGTTAACTACATTGTTAACTTTATTGTTTAGAATACAGTGAGCTCATCTCTTAATGTTAGTGACATGCCAGGGCTATTACTGAATGTTTTGTGACTGTATAAAAATAATATAATTTTACTCTCAGATAAGTTGAGTAACATATGCTGTAAAAATAGTGTTTAACCTTATCTTGATTGGTAGTTTTTCAGGTCACTTGAAGTGTACAGTAGCAAATGTTTTAGAAACACAATTAAAAAAATGTATTCTGATTTTATTGCAATAACTTTTTACTCAAAAATATTGCAGCAAAATTGATATTTTAGCATTATGTAATGTTTAACTAGTTTATTTCATAAACCAAAAATTGAAAAAATGTGATGTTTGTATGATTTACCAAAGCAGAAGTTAAATGTTTCAATTGGCAAAATATAGTCTCAAAAGAAATCAAAGAAATTGAAATTGGCTGGATTTAGAAAGTGAAACTTTCTGAGCAGTAAAAAAAAATAAGTAGAAAGTTTAAGATGAAAGGAAGTGTTTTTATTCGATTTTTTTTTTCACGACAGAATTTAGGACATTTCACAATCTAAAAAATATTGATACAAATAAAATCAAATGTTTTAAGTTTTTGTGCAGAAACTGGAGAAATATAAAAGGTTAGTAAAAAGTTTTAAAAAATTTGGTTAAGTATTTTCACTGAGAATGGAGAGAAATAGATGATCTATGGGATCTATCTAAAGCTATACAAGTGTGTAAGAACAATGCCCTATTGGATTTATGAGTAAACTAACTTGTGTATTGTAATGAATTAAATAAGAATAAGACATAAACATGTGAACTCCATGTGAATTTATAAGTAATTTAAGTATTGTTACTTGAATAATTGTTTTAAATAATCCACATTTACATTACACCTGAATTTTATGCATTACTTTAAGCGCCCCCCAGTGGAACAGCAGTATGTCTGTGAACTTACAACGCTAGAATCTGGGTTTCGATACCTGTGGTGGGCAGAGTACAGATAACCCATAGTGTAGCTTTGTGCTTAATTCCAAGAAAACAGAAACAAAACAAACATTACTTTAAGCTTTAAACCATCCATTTGTCCTAAAATTCTGATGTATACTGTATTTATTTTTTAGATATCTTAGAAATAAGTTAATGATAAATTAGTTGCATAAATATAATGTAAATCGTGTTCCACATATATTCTGTATACATATAGAACATTTCCATTGAATAATTCAGCATTTTTGTATTCTTGTTTATCATTTTCATAATTGGTGAACTTTAAACTAAAGTTATTTTTGAAATAACTGGGAATTTGTTATTTCAGAAAAGTTTTAGCTTTAACCTCTCTCTTTTTTTTAATTATTTAAAACATAATGTACCATCTATAATATAGTATTATTTTCATATAGAATTTAAGCATTGGTTTTCCATTTTATAATAATATTATATTGATAAATCATTTCAAGCTAAAAAAAAATTAAATAACATAAAGACTGTAAAAATATTAATAGCTTTAATGGATTTTCTAATTCTAATAATTTGCAACAATTAAGCTATGATAAAAATATCAGTTTGTGTTTTTTATTTCAGAATTTTTATGTTAAGGGTATGTCAAAAAAAAGTTCAGAAATAGAATGTTTTACCCTCTCTTTGTGCATATAAATAGCTGGCACTGATTTTTTTCAGCATCCGTCCATTGCTATACTAAAGGGAGCAGGGCTGGTGATGAAGGCTATCATTGAGGTATATTTGGTCATTTCTGAGCATAATAGGGTGCATGTATTTTAATCTTGAAATATTATTAGTTTTGTATTTCTGCTTTTTGATATATGTATCTTTTTAATAGTTTTGTGCTTGGCAAAGTGAATTGATTACAGCAATTGTTCTGATGAGTTACAGAGCACTGTTGAAAGTCTAATTTTTCAAAAAGACTTGAGCATTTTTGGTTGATTTTATTATTGATAAATCATGAGAAGTAGGAATGTAAAAGCTAAATATCATTCAGATGTTATTAGTTCAATCCCACCCACCAGATTCTAAGGATTTACCATTGTTTATAGCAAAAATCTGATCAGTTGATTTTCAACAAAGATACAGTCTTTATAAACAAATATTAGTTAACCAACATAATGATTTTTATGAAATTAAATTAAATTTTACATGATTTTTGTTGTTTAAAAATTTAAAGTTTGTGAGCTTATTAATGAGCATAGATGAAGATTGTAAATGTAAGTTACATTTGATAAGTCACCTATATACCCATGGAAGAATTAGCTCTTTAATAATGTAGAGTTTACAGAAATGTACAAATTGAGTTTTTTCATTGAGATTCATGATATTGAAGCAAGCTTATATAATTATTCATGTTTTTTATTTGCAGGAAGGGGATGGTGAAATAGCTGCAAAGATGCAAGATTTAGCTTTAGCTGAAGGTGCTCTCCCACGTCATCTCCATATTGCCCTTTTCAAACAGAGCTCTGATAGCAGGCTTTTGGCTGTACAGCAGTTGTCTCGTCATCTGGTAGCTTTGTGGGTAACAGGAAATCCAATAGCTATGGGCCTGTTGCGTCGAATTGTGGTAAGCTATCTCACTTTTTATTAAATTTAGTTGTTTTTTTGTTGAATTAAAACCAACTCCATTCTTCAGTATTTTGGTCTGGCTTTAATGATTCTTTTGCTTGCTTTCTTTAATATTCAAAAGAAATTCCATATAATTTGAGATACATCTAAAGAGAGAAAAATATGTGATTATTGCATCCATAAGAAAATTTTCTTAAATTCACAAAAAAATACACATTAATTTTTTTTTCAAATATTATAGAACTAGTTTATCAATCTTGATTAGCATTATTTGAGAATTAATTTTTTGTCATATGTCCAAATGAGAGTAAATGTGTAATCCAAAAATATTTAAATGAAAATAATTTTTCAAGTTCAATAAGCAAGTCTAAATTAGGCTTAATGGTAGCTGTTCCATCAGTCATTAATGGAAGTCTTCTTTTGGAAATTATAAAACTTTTCCATATACTGGCTAGTTAGTAACAATGATTAGTTTGAAATACTTGAAAAAAAGCTGATGTTAAGTTATTTTATAATCACAATTCTAGCCACCAGGTCTGCTTTCATATCTTGATTCAACAGATCCTGCCCCCAAACCCTCGATAGATCACATCAATGTACGGGATAACTTGAAACTTGCTCAGGTAGTTAATTACTATATATTGAGAGAAGTAGTAAAGGTTGTTTTTTTTTCATATCAGAGGAAATGGCCATGTTTTTAAAAGATACCATTTCCTATCATAGTGACTGTTCAACATTTTTTTAGTCAGTATAAGTGATATACTAAATTTTTTGTAACAGTTAGAATCTTTTTTTTTATCAAACTGCTTGATTAATTAAAATTGTTAATGAAAACAAAATCAGTTTTTTTTATTTCATCACAGATGCTTGTATCTTTAATATTTTTACAATGAGCAGTTTGAATCAGAGTAATTAGTCAGCAGTACGGCTACTGACATACAATGCTAAAATCTGGGGTTTGATTCCCCACCTAATGTGGCTTTGATCTAAAATAAACAGAGTAATTAAAAACAGTAATTCTTTAAAACTATGGTTAAAAAATTATAGACTCTCATATTTAATTGATCATCAAAGAAGATTTCATTGTTTTGTGTAAAATATATATAATTTATGTTATCAAATTTCATAGTAGTTTTAAAAAGTGTGATGTGAATTTTTAATGATAAAGTAAGCATAGAAATCCTTGTTGTAAGACTCTAAATCTGTTAATATGCATTACAATTGTCTGTCACAATAACCATGTTTTAAAAACTTAAATCATTTTCTTTACATTGAATATTAGTAGATTGATGGTGTGGTAAATTTAACAAAGCTGATGAATTAAGATGTGATTTTACTGTGTTTGATATATAGGATCATTCAGCCAAAACCAAGAGAAGAACACCACCATCATTGCAGGTGGTAGAAAAACATGTGGAAATGTTTCTTCAGCATTGGAGATCTAGAATAGGCCTTGAAAAGGAGGTTGGTTTGATTAATATAAATTTATTAATCTTGTTTCTAATCCTTTAACATAAAAATCACATGAATAATGTTTTCAAGTTTATTTTCCATCCTATTAAATTACTGGCTTACACAGAAATAGCGTTTAAGTTGTTCTTAGAACTTTTAACTTGATTGAGTTGAAAGCCAAACATTATTAAATATCTGTTTTGTCTCAGAAGCAGAAGACTTAATAACTTCCTACATCACCAAGAAAAAGTTTTTTGGGTGGTGTTTATAAGAATCTCTTCAGTTTTGAAGACTACATAATCATCAACACTTACTTCACAAGCTATTTATTTACATATAATTTTGTGTACTAGAAAATATGGAGTATTAAAATTCATTCTTTAAAATGTTTTGACTTTCTATTCTCCAAGTTTTAAATTTCTTAAAGCCAAGAATGAAATTAAGAACTATTCAGATTGAAATACATTTAACAAGACATTGTTTGGTTTAAAAATGTTAAACATTATTTTATATATATGATTACAATAAAATGTTTATAATGTTGATTTTAGACTACTCCATTGGAATAAAAAAATGAGGATACATTATGGACATTTTGTGTGGCATTTGACCTTTATGATTAGACTGGAAAATTATTTTTCAGGCAACAACACTGAATGATTAAAATTTTGACTTTATTTGCAATTTGGGTTTTTTAAACCGTTTAATTGAAAGTTACTTAAATTGTAATCTATTTCTATCAGTAAATTAAAATTAAATATAATTTCTGACAACAACAACTAAGGATAAGTATTATATAAACCTTATGTGTATTATATTTTTATTTAAAAGATTATAAATTAAGTATCCCAATCTCATATGTGAAATTTGTAAAATGGCACTTTCATCATTATACTGTTCTGAGTTGAAAGTATTCATTTATAAAAATGTATCATAGTTTTATATATAACACTAGTAAAACATTCAACAGGAAGGAAACTGTGACTAATGCTATAAAATGAAGATACCAGAATGAGACTATACAATTATTCAGATCTCTTAAAAAATAGTCCTCAGAACTAGCCTAATTCCACTGAAGTGTGTAGAATCAAAGAACAACCAAAAATTGACTTAGTACTTTTTAGCTAAATTTTACTTGCATTATGTCATTTAACAAAGTAAATAAAAATAAAGAATTAAAAGTAGAGTAATTGTTACTTTGCTTCAGATACCTATAAAAAAATTGCAACAAGTGTTTTAATTACTTTGTAATATGCTAAAAAAATCAATTGCAACAATGGTAGTATTTTCCAATTTTACAAACATTATAGCATGCCAGAATCCATTACATTATAAAACTTCAAGTGTCACTATTTATTCATAACAATAATAAATACACACTTAACTTTGCTTATTAATCATTAAAAACCTTTAAGAAAATAGAGTATCGTAATATTTTTATATGAGCTACAAATCAATAATATGAATAGATCTTAAGATAAAATCTCTACCTTCAGAGTATCAGATTTTTAAAACTGTTTAAAGTGAATTTATAACTATATTATTCTTGGATTGAAGATGTCAAAGGTAGAACCATAAGTTTCCTTTGTGATTACTTGTCCAAAAGTGGTAATATCTTTTTAAATGTGGCAGCTTAAAGGTGTAAACACTCAAGGGGACTGTCAGATATCTTTTCACGAGAAGTACCTGATCATACCTGATTGTAAAAAGTGGTACTTCTGGACCATCTCTGTTGCTGCTTAATGTGTGACATTCATCAGCTTTATTAGATGGTGAGAAGCAGTTCTCAATTTCAAAATTACTAAATCTATCATTGCATTTGCACTCATAAATCTCCAGCCTTTTCCTTTTACAGATGTGTTTAAATTTCTAATCTGTGTTCCATTTATTGAGATATGCATCATTTATGAAACTTTGATTTTTGTTTCTTTAGCTTTTGTTTCAAAAGCTTTAATTTTTTTATCATAAATTCTCAAATGATTGTGGTTTATATTTAGTCCTGAGTGTGAGGCGTTGTTCACACTTAGACCTTTATACTGCTTGGGTTTTGGAAGCTTGTTAACTGTCAGGGTCATTGCAGTCATTGTTCAATGTGTTGTTGATTACCACATGTTTAACCCTTTCGAGATGGGTCAGGTGTGAAAGGCCATGTCATCTCGTTTATTGACTTGCATTCAAAATTTTATTGAACTACTATTTCATGAAGTTATGTCAATAAGTTTGGTATCAAACTGTAGATTATAATTCAGATAAACATCGATTACCGGGTGTCACAAGGTATGTTGAATGCAGCACTGGTTCAAGTTAGATGTTTTTGATGTCAAAATACTAAGTCTGTAGTTTCCTATGAATTAGAAACTCAAATTACAAATATTGACAAGCTAGAATATAAAATAAGAAGGTCTTATCTTTTCTCTTTGCTAAGATATTACTCATGTAATAAATCAAACACAGTGGCACCCCACCCACCTCTTTCCATTTTTGGAAATGCCCTCTCATATACACTTACTTCTATATATCACATGAATAACCAATCAGAAGCTCAGAATGTCCCATAGTGGCTTTTTCAGCCATTTTAAATTCTTAGGATGCCATTTCTTTCTTTTGAACCAAGATTTCAACGAGGTAGGATGTGTCTTTAGTATGCTCGAAATTTCATATTTTTTAGACTAAAATACATCTTAGTTACTGAGCTTTATAAATTATACTGGACTTCTATGGTATTAATGTAGTAATTTATGATTTTTTAGTTATTCAAATATATATGTA